TTTATAATATTAAAATAAAGTATTCTTCTTTTTAATAAGATTAAAGAAGTCATAAGTCTGTTCTTTTATCTTAAAAAAAAGAATACTTTATTTTTATATTATAAATCTCCTTACAGAATTAGAAAATCGGAGTCAAGTCTTGACGCCTTTCTGCCGCTTCTGTCACTTCTACGTCTAACGCCAATTTTGACGCCCTGCCGCTCAAGTGGTTAAATTTTACAAAATTTTAACTATTCAAAAATTTTTTAATCATATTATAATTTAATTATTTTAAAAATATATTATTCAAAAATAATTTTTGGAATATTTGTCTATAGTTAGTTTCCACACTATAAAAATCGAAATATATTTTGTATATAAAAAAATGCAGTATTTTATTGTAATATTTTGAGGAAAAGTCGCAATTTTTAAAAATAAGTCAAATAAGTCATAATATCTGAGGTCTGTAACTATATAAACAACTCTATACTTCATCAATAATATATTTACAAAAAAATAGCATGCAGTTATTTTGAATTTTAATTTTAAACTTTAATAATTAAAAACTAGCGTCATATTCCTCGCTCGCTCGGAAGACATTTTACTTATTTATTTCCACTTACAGAAATAGTTTTTTAAGTAAAAATTTTGTTAAAAAAATTTTTAACGTCAAAAACTCTCCTGATTAAGCTAATTTTGTTTAAAAAATCTTTAACTTTAAAAACGATCCTTATACATACCTCATACAGTAAGCATGCAGGCTAATTATTTATAACATTTTTACACCAATAGGTCTTTTTTAAAAAATTATGTAATATATGTTTTCGTAGTGGTCTTTAGCGTATAATCAAATAGCGCAATAAGTTTCTTATAAAAATCGATTTTTCTTCATTTGTTTATAAAAAAATTGTTAAAAAATATCTTTTTAACATTCAACGACAAAAATTATTATTAGATCCCATGCCAGGATTCCAATTGTTACTTTTATTATATCTGCATTTCTTTGCCTATAGGCATCAATGGGTTAATGTAAAAAATCTTTTCCAATCTTTTCTTTTTTCATTTTTCTACTGAAGACCATAAAAATAAAAAATTAGAAATATAAGCCTGGATAAAGTGTGGAGGAAAAGATTTTTTACAATAAAAAAGGAAAATAATGTTTATAAAAAAGTTAAAAATATATAGTTAAACTGTTTATAAAAATAATATATACATATATAATTAATAAATGTATTAGAGGCGAGCAGTAAAGGTCATATCATCTTTTAAAATACACTGATATAGGCGCTGCTTAGTTAGCGCAACGCACAAAAACTCGTAGCGCAAACTTAAAAAATTTTTTCTGAAAAACATCAAAAAGCACTTCTTTAAAAATTTAACCACTTAGGAAGGTTTACATTTTGAGAAAATAATTTTTTTAGGAAACTCCATGATGTCCTTAGCATATTTTTTTAACAATAGAAAATTATTATTTAAACAAATTATAGAAAATTTAATTTTTCTTAACTTTTTTTAATATTATAAAAAATTGACATTTTGCTTCCTCATAAAGGAAGCCTTATAGTGATGTCGATTTCCGAATTTTTTAGAATCAATTATTTTTACAAATTTTCAAGTGTAGTATATATAATTCGTCGAGAGGAACAAATGTCCGGATGTATGTGTGTATGTATGTGTGTGTGTGTGTGTGTGTATGTCACCGATTCTTGTGGACAAATTTTCTCTTACACGTCTTGACGGATTTTAATAAAATTTTGTTGGTGTATTACGGTCACGAATACCAAAAATCAGACAGAAGGATTTTTGAAAATATCTAAAAAAAAAATTTTTTTCAACAATTTTTTAATTTTTGAAAAAATTAATTTTTGAATTTTTTGAAATAACTTTTTTCTATATTAAAATTTTTATCAATTCTTGGCAAAATTGCATTCCTGACATAAAAACTAATTGATTCATGTATATAAAGTATATATTTTATTCAAATTTATAGAATTAATAAATATTTTAATTTTTCACAAAAAATTGAAATTTTGTATTTTTTGAAATTTTATCTTAACACTTTAAAATAATTATTCTAAAATAAAAAATTAAACGATTGGTATATATTATATTGAGGAAGCTTAATGATCATGAAATGAACAACTTGTATTTATTTATTTATTTTCAGTTTCCGATTTTTCAAATCTAAATATCTTGCAAAAAAATTTTTTTTTGCAAAACTGTTTGGCACAGTTATTTAGTACCCCAAATACTACAAAATTACAAAGTTTAAGAAAAATCGGTGATCCACCATTTACTTTTCGTATGGAACTGTCCTTGATATAAAAATTTTAATTTGTAGTATCAAATAAATAGTTATTTGTAGCAAATTCGAATTATTTAAGTCAAATGAATGGAATAATTGGATCTAATAAATATTGCTTTAAATCAATTAGGAAAATTACTTGATTCAGTAATGCATAAATTTTAATTCAAATAAATATTTATTTGCATCAATAAAATAATTTTTTTAAAATATGTAACTAAATATTTATGGGACATTCCGCACGTCAACACGGACAAATCTCTAAACAAAAATTGCTTTGATAGATTTAAACGTTCTAGGGCTTAAAAGATTTCTACATTCATGTACTTTAAGATGGCGATGGGCGTTCTTTGCAAATTGTCATTTCCGATGCCAATAGAGCTGTCAAAAGTCAAATGGTCCAAAAATCTCAAAATACTTTTATGAATTAAAAGCAAAAAACGAGGTAAATTATTCTGTAACTCATTCTTTGACAGTTTTTTAAGATCCCTGAATATAAATCTAAAGTTTTCTTTTAAATCTAAAATGTCGGATCCAATATGGCGGACAAAATTCAAATTTTATCAGATTCGAAAAAAACTTGTTAGTCGGTGGTTTTTAGGGTCGCTGATTACGAATCTACACTACCGGTCAAAATTGAGAGACCATCCATTTTTAGGTAATTGAAAAACATTTTAAAACATAAAATGTATGGAAACTCAAATATTTTGCTTTTTATTTTTTGAAAGATGATGAAATTTTGAAAAGAACAAGATCTTTTAGAAGTCATTTGGCCAATATTTTATTTAGATATTTTTAAAAAATCGTCATTTTCAATGTCTTACAAAAATTTGAATAACTTTTAAAATAATAAACGCTTTTTAATGATCTTAAGCTTATTTTAAAGGTCATTTGCTACACTATAAGAATTACTTATAGGCATTAACGTGTAATTTTTTTCTTAGAAAATGCAGGCCGTCAAACTTGGACCAAAAAAAATCAAAAAATTTGGAACAATTTTTCTGTACTAAAAACTATTTTAGAAAATACATAAAACATTAGGGTCATTTGGGGTAAATGTAAACAGTAGATGTTTTAGCTAAATTTACAAATTAAAAAATAAGTACGACGTCAATATTTTTACCTCAGCTCACCTACAAGATGTTCTGACAAGTAACACTACCCAATCATGAATCGCGGATCGCATTCTATTATGGATCATTTTCTAGATAATCAAAAAATATTTGATACGTATTTTTTTATTTCGGCTGACATGCAATTTTAGGGGTTGAAAATGGGGGTTGAAAATACCGATTTTTATGTAATGTGTAAGGATCATATGTGTAAACCAGTAGAAATATTAATATAATTAATGATACAATGAAAGCATAATGTTAAACTATGATTCTTATAAGATACCAGTTTTTAAAATTCTAAAACAATAATTGTTTAAACAATAATTGTTTAAACAATAATTGTTTAAACAATAATTGTTTTTAAAAGGAAATTGCCCAAAACTGGCCCAAACTGTTATTGACGCATATTTGCGCAACTTCAAAAAAATGATTCAAAACTTCTTAAAAATCTCTGATACTGGTTACTCGGGGGTTTTCGGGGTCGCTGATCACGAATCTGACATCAGTTTTTTAAAATTCAAAATGGCGGATCCAATATGGCGGACGACTATTTTAAAATATGATCCAATTTGCCTGGAAATCGTTACTCAAGGGTTTTCGGTGTCGCTGATTACGAATCTGACATCAGTTTTTTAAAATTCAAAATGGCGGATCCAATATGGCGGACAATTTTTCAACAATTCTTTCAATTCGCTTGAAATTGGTTACTCGGGGGTTTTTGGGGTCGCTGAGTACGAATTTGGTGTTAGTTTTTCAAAATTCAGAATAGCAGATCCAATGTGGCGAAAGATTTGTTTAAAAATTCATCCGATATGTCTACAAATCGTTCTCGGGGGTTTTGGAAGTCGTTGATTACGAATTCGAGGTTCATTTTTTAAAATGCAAAATTGGATCCGCCATTTGGAATTTTAAAAAATTGATGTCAGATTTGTAATTAGCGACCCCGAAACCCCCAGTTTCAAACAAACCCATACAAATTTTTTTCAACACACTTTTGGCCAAAACAGTGGAAATCTCGTTGACAGCCAAAGGGTTAACCTTTAAACCAGTTTAATTCTTGAACTGTTATTTTTATGTGTTAGGAAAAAGTGTTGTAAGTTAAGAAAAGACGAGAATTTTATTTTGTTTCAAATCAATTTTTGTTATTATTGTCTGTTTCCTTAAAAGTTAATAGTCTTTAAAAATAGAAATTGTAACTCTATTATAAAAAATAGTTATAAAAACACATAAATGTTTCAATTTACTCGCTCTCTGCCGTACCCGAGAATAACAAACTTGGAGGTGGCGAGTGTATATTCCCTTCTTTTTTTTAAATTTTTTTTTGTTTTTTGTTGTTTTTTAATTTTTTTTTGTTGTTTTTTAAATTTTTTTTGTTTTTTGTTGTTTTTTTAATTTTTTGTGGTTTTTTTATTTTTAACTTGGAGGTGGCGAGTGTATATTCCCTTCTTTTTTTAAAATTTTTTTTTGGTTTTTTGTTGTTTTTTCTTGTTTTTAAAATTTTTTTTGTTTTATTTGTTTTTTTTTATTTTTTGTGGTTTTTTGCGAAATATATTAAAATTTTAATAAGTCGGCTTTAAAAATATATTGAATTGTCAGCAGAATTGTCAGTTTTTAAATTATTGCTCATAATTTTGACAATAATGAGGAGAACTTTCGTTTCTTGGGTCGAAAAAGTGTTCAAAACACATAAATTTGGTACACCAGGCACATCTAAAAAAAGCATTGTCTCCACAATAATGACAAACGGTGTCGCAGCTTTTGAAGCAATAAGCAACAGGTGTATCGCATTTAGGCGGTTTTTCCAAAATGTAACCACTTTTGTACCATCCATACTTAAAGAGGTTAATAAATCTTGGAGATGATAACTGGTTGTGTGTTACAGACTGCAGTTTCAAGATGTTATTTCTCAAATGCAAATTCACCTCAAAGTCATAAAGGATTACTGAATCGGAAAAATGTTTAACGAAGTTTTTCCAAGGTCTAAACCCGTAAACATCAAGGGGTTGTATTTGACCTGTTGTTCCTGCAGGGATTGTTAAAATTTTCACTTCTTTTCCACGAGTATCAACTTTTTCCAAATTTTTTTTGTTTGTCCCGTCCATATTGAATGGAAGATGAGAATATTATTTTGTTTTAAAATGAATAGAAATATTTTTTAAACAACATTTTATTGAACAATTGATGTTTTGAAAATTAAAACATTGTTTTCCAAACAAAATAAATTGAATATAAGACGAGAATATTATTCTGTTTTAAAACATAGTTTTTCGGGATACAATTCGATCCTTCACATTTTTAAATTTTATTTTTGCCCGTTTAGCTGACTTCAAATAATGAACAGCTTTTTTGTTTTACTACAATTGTTATTCTTATTAGTAATATTAATTTAACAAGAAGATAAATATTAATCCAAATTTGTATGTATGCAAATTTAAATCGCGCGCTCACTTTTTTAATTTACGAGATTGTCCGCTAGGTATCGCACAGCAGAATTAACATTACATCGCGCGCTCACTTTTTTTATTTACGCGATTGTATGCTAGGTGTCGCACAGCCGAGTTTACATTATTACTTTCTCGTAATTTTTTAGAGACTTTTTGGTATTCATAGGAAGAGTTTTCGTCGATATAGTTTGTTTTCTAGTTGGCAATCAATCTTTGTTGCTTGAATTATACATTTAAGGTTAGTAAAGTTTTATTCTTATTTTTTTGTGTTTTTTATGTAGTTCAATTTTTGTAAATTCTTTTCCTTAAGTTTAAATTTTTTAATACTTGAACTTTCTTTATACAAGAATTATAAAAAGAAAATAAAAAATTACAATCAATCCTTTTTAGGACTTTATTGATTTTGACAGCTTTTTCGTTACACTTGTGTAATAAAAATGATAAATTCAAAGAATATTATGCGTTTGTTGCACGATCATTTGAATGTTGAACTTAATGATTATGAATCTATTGTAACTGACGATGAAAAACTCTTAGCAGAACAGTTAGACAACATTATAAGAGATGCTGCAGATGCTAGACTGAATTTTGAAACCTTTTCAACATTGTGTTATGAAGACGACAGTATAATACCTGATTGAGTCACAGTTGACGAAAACTTTGAAGAAAACTGTGAAATAATTGTTAATGAGAATAATGAAAAAACCAAAGTAAGTATAGATTTTGAGTATAAAAAAAGAGCTGTTCAGTATTGGAAGTCTGGAAAACATGGAAAAATGAAGTTTCAAACTGTGCAAAGTAGATTTAAGAAACTGAAGCATAATTCAGTACTTTACGAATGGGAAAAGCAAGTTGAAGAAGGTGGAAACAGAGTCGAGAAATTATCAAAAATATGCGAGTACGTTTTGAATGAATTTCAAAAGGCACATGAAAAGTCATTGCCAATTCATGATGCGGACATAAGAAGATGGGCATTGAAGGCGAGGAGTGAAGTAAATTTATCTCATAACCTGTTTACAGCTTCCACAAAATGGGTTTACAATTTTAAAATACAGCACAAGATTGTATCTCGAAAAGTTAACAAATTTATCACTACAAAACAGTTAACAGACAATGATGCCTTAAAGAAAAAGGCAAATGAATATGTTCACAATGTTAGAGAACAAATATCGTTATTTGGAGCCGATAATGTTTGCAATTCAGACCAATCAGGTTTTAATTTGGAAACTCATAGTGGGAGAACATTGTCGTTTAAAGGTGATGTGAAAATTGAATATATTGCACAATCCATGAACTCTTTAACCCATAGTTATACCATCCAACCTACTGTGACAGCTAGTGGACTATTGAAGTCCCCTTTATTTATTGTTTTGCAAGAGAAAGGTGGAGAATTCGGACCAATAGTTCAAAAAAATATATATAAAGCCGACAACATAGTTGTACTTCCTTCGACATCCGGTAAATTGTCACCTCAATTAGCAGGGCAGTGGTTTAAAGATGTTTATTTACCCAATGTTGATGAAAAATCAATGCTTTTATTAGATTCTTGGACGGGACAAACGAAAAAAATTTGGAAAAAGTTGATACTCGTGGAAAAGAAGTGAAAATTTTAACAATCCCTGCAGGAACAACAGGTCAAATACAACCCCTTAAAGTTTACGGGTTTAGACCTTGGAAAAACTTCGTTAAACATTTTTCCGATTCAGTAATCCTTTATGACTTTGAGGTGAATTTGCATTTGAGAAATAACATCTTGAAACTGCAGTCTGTAACCCACAACCAGTTATCATCTCCAAGATTTATTAACCTCTTTAAGTATGGATGGTACAAAAGTGGTTACATTTTGGAAAAACCGCCTAAATGCGATACACCTGTTGCTTATTGCTTCAAAAGCTGCGACACCGTTTGTCATTATTGTGGAGACAATGCTTTTTTTAGATGTGCCTGGTGTACCAAATTTATGTGTTTTGAACACTTTTTCGACCCAAGAAACGAAAGTTCTCCTCATTATTGTCAAAATTATGAGCAATAATTTAAAAACTGACAATTCTGCTGACAATTCAATATATTTTTAAAGCCGACTTATTAAAATTTTAATATATTTCGCAAAAAACCACAAAAAATAAAAAAAAACAAATAAAACAAAAAAAATTTTAAAAACAAGAAAAAACAACAAAAAACCAAAAAAAAATTTTAAAAAAAGAAGGGAATATACACTCGCCACCTCCAAGTTAAAAATAAAAAAACCACAAAAAATTAAAAAAACAACAAAAAACAAAAAAAATTTAAAAAACAACAAAAAACAAAAAAAATTTAAAAAACAACAAAAAAAAAATTAAAAAACAACAAAAAACAAAAAAAAATTTAAAAAAAGAAGGGAATATACACTCGCCACCTCCAAGTTTGTTATTCTCGGGTACGGCAGAGAGCGAGTAAATTGAAACATTTATGTGTTTTTATAACTATTTTTTATAATACAGTTACAATTTCTATTTTTAAAGACTATTAACTTTTAAGGAAACAGACAATAATAACAAAAATTGATTTGAAACAAAATAAAATTCTCGTCTTTTCTTAACTTACAACACTTTTTCCTAACACATAAAAATAACAGTTCAAGAATTAAACTGGTTTAAAGGTTAACCCTTTGGCTGTCAACGAGATTTCCACTGTTTTGGCCAAAAGTGTGTTGAAAAAAATTTGTATGGGTTTGTTTGAAACTGGGGGTTTCGGGGTCGCTAATTACAAATCTGACATCAATTTTTTAAAATTCCAAATGGCGGATCCAATTTTGCATTTTAAAAAATGAACCTCGAATTCGTAATCAACGACTTCCAAAACCCCCGAGAACGATTTGTAGACATATCGGATGAATTTTTAAACAAATCTTTCGCCACATTGGATCTGCTATTCTGAATTTTGAAAAACTAACACCAAATTCGTACTCAGCGACCCCAAAAACCCCCGAGTAACCAATTTCAAGCGAATTGAAAGAATTGTTGAAAAATTGTCCGCCATATTGGATCCGCCATTTTGAATTTTAAAAAACTGATGTCAGATTCGTAATCAGCGACACCGAAAACCCTTGAGTAACGATTTCCAGGCAAATTGGATCATATTTTAAAATAGTCGTCCGCCATATTGGATCCGCCATTTTGAATTTTGAAAAACTGATGTCAGATTCGTGATCAGCGACCCCGAAAACCCCCGAGTAACCAGTATCAGAGATTTTTAAGAAGTTTTGAATCATTTTTTTGAAGTTGCGCAAATATGCGTCAATAACAGTTTGGGCCAGTTTTGGGCAATTTCCTTTTAAAAACAATTATTGTTTAAACAATTATTGTTTAAACAATTATTGTTTTAGAATTTTAAAAACTGGTATCTTATAAGAATCATAGTTTAACATTATGCTTTCATTGTATCATTAATTATATTAATATTTCTACTGGTTTACACATATGATCCTTACACATTACATAAAAATCGGTATTTTCAACCCCCATTTTCAACCCCTAAAATTGCATGTCAGCCGAAATAAAAAAATACGCATCAAATATTTTTTGATTATCTAGAAAATGATCCATAATAGAATGCGATCCGCGATTCATGATTGGGTAGTGTTACTTGTTAGTTATTTTGTTCGTGATTGTGAGTAGAGTGTAAGAAAATGTCTGACAGTTTGTTTAATTTCGAGGCATTAAAGTTGTGTTTGGAGTGTGTCAATAATGGGGTTTTTAATATGGATGTGTTCTTATTGCGAAAGAGGGAAGAGTTGATGCTTTCTCAATCAATTGGGCATCGTTATGGGCGTCGGGAGTGAGTGTTGTCCACGTATTTGTGCTAATATGTTTATTGTTTAATAAATAAGTTTTGTAAAATATAAAAAAAAATATTACAGTGTTTTGGTGGGCTTTCCTTTTTGGAGAAAGGCTCCTGTTCGTGGCCTTTCTACCATGTATTGGTTGTATACAGAGGAAAGTGGAGATTTTGATTTAGCTAGTTCTAATTGTGATACTTGGATACAGGAGTATCAATGGAATTGGGAGGAGAAATTTTATGAGTGTCGTGGGTATTGGGTGCATCCGGATTTTTATTATTCCGCCCGGGTTGATGTTCCTGATGAAGAGCCCATGGAGGAAATACGTAGTTGTATAAGCGTAAATATTTATAAATTGTAAGTACTATTTAAATGTTTAATGTGATATTGTTTTAATGTGGGAGTTGTTGATTTTGTTTGAGAGTGTTTGTAACTTTTACTGTAAGTATATATAAAAAAAAATTTTTTTAAAAGCTTGTTTATTATTTTTTTTATTTAGTCCTAAGAGTGAACTTCCTCCTATACCGCCTTCTGGAGGCCTGGGTATGGAAAGTCGAGCTTTGGAATTGGTGTTTGTGGAGAAGTTCCGCGTTAATTGGGGCAAGGTGGAGCGGATTTTGTCAACATGGGAAATTGTAAGTGATTTTACAGGGATTTTTATCCTGCGATATTTGATTATGTTTTGTTTGTACTTTTGTATTTTTTGTTAACTTTAGATAGAAAATGGATTTTCTAATAAATAAAAGATGATCGAGAGATAAAATCAATATTTTACACTATAAGAACATTGTTATTGTAACTTCATCAAAATTATTTTCATCATTTTAATTAAATTATTTTT